AGCAAAGCACTAACTCTTAATGGAAAACCAAATAAACCCATCAGTAACTGAATGGGAACTGGATGATATTCTCCTTAGCACTTTGGCATAGGCCGAGTGATCAACTGTGATATTAATGCAGCTGCTGGTCAGGAGGTTGGATTAACCCAGGAAGTGATGCTGACAAGGATTAAACATCACTGGACTGACTCCAACACCAGCGTCGACTTGCCTCCACATGAATTTATGTCATGCAAAAAAAAAGGCAACAGATGTTGTACATTTACAGATATAAACTTCACCACGTCACCATGGCTTCATATCAGGGTTTTCTTATTCTCCCTCTCTGCCCTTCCTCTCTTCTCTCCCTCTGCCAGCTTTCACAAGGGGGCTTTGTTCTTTAACAGGTATGTTCACCAGTCTCGCAGTTGATTTTCCGTCAGAAATGAGTGCTGTACTGAGTCAGCCCTGCTCTGAACAAAGATCTCAGCAGTCCCTCTCTGTCATGACCTCATGCGCTTGGTAAACAAAGGCTCACAGATTACAAGAGAGAGGAGATAATGGGAAGGCCACTCACGGACAGCCAAGCAAAACGTGTGAGTCAATCACTCATTGAATATACCACTGGGTTTATTTTAGAGGAAATCAGGTGACAAACTTAACTTACCCCATCGTTTTAGGTAAGGAATATATAAAGAAACCTCAGCAATATGGATATGAACTCACTGTGCTCTGATAAAGCCCCTTAAGGTGAGAGCTGACATGTTATCTGGATCAAAAGAACAATGACGTTGTCCAATAAACACTGCCTCATACCTGACTGGGTTATGTAATTGCCCTAACTGAAAACAGTGAACCTACAGAAGAAGTAAGCAACATCTGTGAGTGTGTGTTTAATCCAATCCTTCTGGACCTGAACCTATGACATTGTTTGGCTAAGTGAATCGTTAGTCTAAAAGGAGACAGATGATTGTTTCTATAAGATGTGATAGTGGAGATATTGTTTGTTCTTTCAAATGTGAGCTCAGGGAAGATGTATGGGTGACCTTTGAAAAGCTGTAATGTATAAAAGATGTATCCTGTCATGAATGTCAGCTTTAACAGGAATAACAGCCATCTCTATTGCAGGGCAGCCAAAGCAGCACTGTAGTATTAATTTCCTTCCTTTTGTGTTAAAAATAGTAAATTATCTCAGCCTCATAATGTCAAACACATTCTGCCGAGTGAAACTGCCGGTGCAATCCCCGTTCGGAGTGGAAAAATAATTATTAGCACTGCTATAAAATGATGGCTGGCTCTTGAAATCTTCTCTAAACCATTACTTTCTATTACATGAAGGAGTGGCTCCCTCTAGCATTGTGTTCCCCAGTATCCAGATTAAATGGTACAATATTATGATTACTTGAACTGTGGTTGTTCATTAGTCTTTCATAATGGCACTCGTTATTAAATATTTATGGATAAACAGCCCTTCATGCATATAACCAAATCAAACCAAACCAGCCACCTACCTACAACAAAGAAGCTCCCATTTTTCTTAGGTGTGTGTAATGTAAATGTAATGGAATCTACATGTTTTGCAAAGCATCAAGTTATCGAAGACAGGCACATTTCACTTCATTAATGTGTTTCAAAGCGTTGCAGGATTGATGATTAAATGGCACCATCTGGTGGATTTGGTACAAGTGCAATAACAAAGAATGTCCAATAGGGGGAAGGAAAAAAAAGACATTATTGTGGACATTAGGGAGAGAGAAAGAGATCCTCCTGTATGTCTCATGTTGACCCTGTTTTCTATTACAGGGTGCTGATAAGTGACCTCTATCCAACCTTATTAACCTTATAGATACATGAATACATTTCATTTGTATTATAATCCACACACAGTAGTTTAACATGTGGAACAAGTGTGATCTTTTAACTATGTATAATTGGCACACAAATGCTACCAAGTCTGATTGACTTGGTCAATCTACTTTATCTTTCTCCAACAACTACAGACTGAAATGGACTTCTGTCCTTACAACACCATAAAATCTGAAGTCATACAGGCCTCATCAGATGTGGTTTACTTGAACTGATTGCAAGCGTGATATCCACTGATTGCAAAATCTTCTCTCCCAAGACCTGTGGGTGCTGCAGGACCAGGAGATTGTTGTCAAGGTAACGTTGTGACTGATGACTCACGGTGTTGTTGCTTGTCCTCCCTCTTTGTTTCCTTAGTTTCTTTTTGCTTATAAGAGGAAGAGAGGGTGGAGTGAGGCAAGTGAAGGAATCTGATTCCTAGACTGCCAAAGCAATCTTCTGATGTTGTTATGAATCCTGACTAGAGCTCACTGTAAATATAGATTATAAAACCAATAAAATTTTGGTTTGGAAAATCATTTTAGATTTTTTACACCTTTCACTTAACATAGAAGGAGCAACATCAGCCAACCTGGGTGCAATGGATAAGTCAAGTCCAAAAGATGTGGAGCAAATAAAACATGAATAATGGACTGATTTGCAGTTCAATCTAAAAAGTGTCATCTCACATTGAGAACATTATGTTTAATTAATGAATTGAGCTCCCTCCTCCTGTTTCTCTCTTTGTACTCATAAGTTTAATGACCTGATTTCCATTAGAAAATGCCAGACAGTGAGATTACCGCAGCATCATCTATAACCAAGAGAGACTAATTGAATAAATTAATCATTCAGAGATCATGCATCCACTTGTTGCTTCCCAGTGTTTGTTCCTCAGCAAGTTCGATTTCATGGAGGTACATCCTGTGCATCCCAAAGTAGCACCTGCAGTCTTTGCGCTCCTGTTAAATTACATATTACTACCTTTCACCAACATTACATTAAAATTACATAATATGTTAATAATATAATGTACCATCGTTGCTTTCCACTGCCAGCACAATGCCCTTGTGAGTAATCACATGGCTTTAACTTCCTAACAGAGTGATTTAAAAAGGAGAACTTCAGGGAATTCAGTACCATTCTGGGTACTAAATAATCACGAGCCATAACAAGTGCACAGACGACAGGGACAGGAGGCAGTGAAAATTTACACCAGCTATCCAGTAATGAATACATAATGACAGGAGCACCGTCCGAGTTCACGTATTGGCAATTATTCAGCTTGCATTTGTCTTGTTGTTCATTTATGGTCTTTTATTTGCCATTCTCCTACAATGATTAACTGACCTGTCGAAGGCTGCAGGTTCATATCTGGTAATAATGCTCAGGTTATCATCACACTAGTTGGAAAAAAAGATAAGATAATAGGGATTTTATTGTCATACTGTAGAAAAAGTCATTCATGTTTGCTATCATCTGTGTAAATGAAAACATCAATGTACTGAAAAATGACTTTCACAATGTAATAATATAACCAAACACATAAAATCTAAATTACTTTGGCATAAAACAATATTACAACCATCTAGAGGCCAGAATGGAAAAACATACAGTGACTTTAAATCCTTGAACATGAATGTACATTCAGCACTCAAAATCCTGTCACATCGGTCAAAACATGATTTTGAAGGAGAGAATATGGACTGTAAATGACAATGATTATATTCAAACTGAAATCTTAAAACCCTTATTCAATACCCTGTAGATGGAGTGTAAGATTAAAATATATCTATGATAGTCTTTTTACAGGAACTGCCCTGCCTCAAGTTCATTCCTCCTTTCCATTCTAAAAATAAAGGGGGATATTTTGCCAGTGTGCATGATAATCAATATGATTTCAGGGAATATGGAAAAAAACTCTGTTTAGTGTATAAACAGTCAGGTCCTCATTTAACTTTATGACATTAATATCCCAGATTGGGAAAATCCCTAACATTTTTTTAAAGCTTTTACCATGTGGTGATAATAAATAAAAAAAAAACAGGTTATTTCTCTGCATGGTTGGTCATAAGACTCTTAACCAGGTTCCTCTCACAGACAAAGTCATCCTGCATTTAACAGCACCGGCTCCAGATGTCACATGCAATGGTTAGTGGTCACAGAGACCTGCTAAATGTATCCACTCAATGTGAAAGGATCTCTCTACTTCATTATGCGTCACACAAGAAAACTCACACAAGTTAACTAAGCTCAGTCTTGGATCTGAAGACCTTTTATCGTCGCCATCTAATGAGGGACTATTTTACTGTTCAGTATCTTTCTGGTACAGTGGATAAGTAGCATATCTGAATCCAAACTCTTCAGATAGCTTTGTATTAGAGAGCAATCATTTGTTTGTGCCAACTTTATTTAGTAAAAGATAATGAAACAATAGAACCTTTAAAACGAGATTTAATTCAGGCCCCTTTATGAGATGAAGCCCTAAGATGAGGTACTAATGCAGTTCCTGCCTTAAGGTCCCATTTCAGTGAATATTGTGATATAGTGGTGCATAGTATTAATAAACAATTAATTAATGTAACAAATATGGTGACTAAATATGTGTCACTACATACAAAGGTAACTACAACAGCAACTGTCTGCTCTGCACATGGACTGCACTTGTCATATCTTCACAGTGTGATGAATGTCTGAATGACAGATAATCCGTTGTATTGTAGTTTCAGTTTTAAGAAAATATGTTGATGTTTGGATTGTGGTTGGTAACACAAACACACATTAGAACAACAGGAGGAGGAGGAAGTTGTCTGAATGGAGCGGTTTAAAATGAGTTACTTATATAATGCAAGACCTGAACAGTGTACACGGTCAAATGTAACCACTTTATTATCAACACAAATCGTAAAATAGTTTAGTTTACGTCGCCTTTTGTTTTGTTTTTTTTGTCTTTTATGCAGAAAGTTACCGGAAATGAGCAACTACTATTTTATCATGAAAACTATTCAGCAATATTCAGTTAAAGTAAGATTTTTTTTGTTTACTTCAGCTTATTTCAAATAATTATGATTACAATTTCGAACTTCTCAACCTTAAACACTATTAATACGCTCTCGCATTATTAATTATTTTGAAAGTGCAACCGGAAACGGCATTAGTGTTGTTCCTCCTGGACGTCCGTACGTTCTGTACGTTGTTTTACGTCAACGTAACGGATCTATGACAAAAGCGAGCCGTGAGGTAGTGGTCCCCGAAACATGTCTCTTATCCCCCGGGTCGACATGCTGAATATGACCGGGGATGGGAACCTCCCTGCCGCCTGAAATAGCGATTCACTTCACCCCAGCGACTCACCCGGAGCGTTAAAGCACACAGAGGCAAATCAGTCTTTATTTATTCAAGAGAAGATGGCGGAGTTTTCGCCCGTCCTGCCGATGCGGGATGGAGGAGGACGATTCGGGCAGCCCATCTTCCCTCGGTCCAGGTCCGGTTCCGAGTCCGAGAGCGAACTGTCCCAGAGCCTGGCCCGGACCAAGATCCGCTCGTACGGTAGCACAGCCAGCGTCACGGCCTCTCTGGGGGAGAAGTACATAGAGCATCGGGTTACAGACAGTGATACCCTGCAAGGGATTGCTCTCAAATACGGTGTCACGGTAAGGTTTTGCCACACACAACCACTGCGATGCTAGTTTATGTTTTGGTGTTCACCTTGACAGGTGGATCTGATGTGATATGTGAGCAGTGGGGATTAGTTTGATTAGCCCCTTCACTGACGAGACAAAGGGAGCCACAACCACAACATCACACCTATATTGTCTCCCATCAGGTGGATGTGTCACTTGTGAATTCATTGGTCTGTCAGCAGCTGTCCCCTTCAAAAAGTCAAATCATATCAATGTTGCGGCATCTTGTAGGCCCAGTGAAGGAGGTTTGACCCAAATACATTAAGACTACTTCTGTGTTTCACTTTATCTTGTGGAAATAGGTCCTTAGTTCTTGATTTAACTTCAATTTAACACCATGTGCCAACACCAGTGAATTGAAAGTTGACAGATCTGAGAGCCCATAATGAATACATTAGGATTATTATATTTTTTTAATGAGAAAGTGGATAATAGGGACACACAGTATTTACTTAGAGGGGGTCATAATTCTCAGTCTCGCTCCTGCACACAACATTCAAGGTCAGAGCAGAGTCTAGGCAGCTGATAGAAAGTGAACGTTTTGTCTTGTTTGCATGTATTCATTTCTTCAACCAAGTGCTGGATTACCAACCCGGTGAACTGGCAACTGCCCCCAGGGGCCCCAAGTTTTCCAAGACCCCCACTGGCCCCAGAAAGCACAAGCTTCGTTGTGTGTCATTTAAATGCACGTTCACACCAACATCTACAAAAACAGGTCCTCATTATTACCTAATCAGTATAATAATCCTTCCCCCAGGATACTTTCTAGGGATGGATTTTATCTTAAAAAGTATTCTGCATTCTACTTTATTCTACTTTTTAAATAAAAATCGCTTTATTGGCGTGTCATGAGTCATCCACTGTTGATTTGACTGAGACTGATCAACACTTCCACTAAATACAGTCAAAACAACAAATGTATTGAAACATCTGTTTGCACATTTTAAAATTCACTGTTTGATAATAAACTAAATCTCTAATTTAAAGCCAGAATTACATAAACGTAATCTCAAAGTATAGATTCAGTGGAGAGTTTATGTTTAAAGATAATTTAAACGCTGTTAAGACTATTTCTCTCCAGTTAAGAATGCATGTCTAAAATGAAAACCAAGTACCTTTGGTTCACTTGCACAGATTTAAAAAGATAATCTCTGACTGACACTGTCATGTGGACAAAATAAAAGCAACTCTATTTATATCAGTGACACCACATATTTATGTAAGATGAGATGATTTTGTTCTCAGGTCACAGAAATGACACTTTTAACTGTAATTTTCTCTGTCACCCTGATATGCCAGATGGAGCAAGTCAAGAGAGCCAATAAGCTGTTCAGCAATGACTGCATTTTTCTGAGGAACAGCCTCAACATCCCCGTAGTGTCGGAGAAGCGCTACATATTTAATGGACTGTCTCCGGAGTCTCCTGACGGGGACGGCGAAGCAGCATGCCAGGAGACGGATACACCCTGTATTGTGACGCAGGATATTGAGGGACCCTCGCCTTCCCCTTCCCCTCCCCCTGCGGACTCCAAACCCCCGCAGCCAGAGGAGCTGTCAGCCAAAGACTTCTTACACAGACTGGACTTGCAAATTAAACAGTCAAAGCAGGCAGCACGCAGGCTGAAAGAAGAGGAAGTAAGGTGAGGTGTTGAACAACCCACAGCCAAACCACAGCTCCTTTTTCTGCATGTGCAGATGTTTGGTGTCAGACCAGGCTGTGAATGCTCATTGCCAATAGTTATCTGTCTCCATCCAATCAGATGGTGTCTATTTTCGGGGGTGATGGCCGTCTGTTGCCTCATTTAAATGATGGATACCTGTCAGCAGCAAATGGTGCTACTGTTTCTTGGTTTGCAACTGAGGGATCATAGATGCTGAGTCATTTTTTTAGCGTTGGAAGCATATTTGGAGGATTTAGTAGACAGGATGCTATAGTGAGTTTGCTATGATCAAGTCCAGCATTTGTAGGTCTTGAAAAGGAGAGCTTGGGTGTTTTGTCACTGTGTCGTTAGTGTTCGCAGCCACATTTTTCACCTTAACCTTGAAATGCTTGTAGGAAATGGGGCCCAGACTCTCGTCCCTGAGCTCAGTAGGTGATTGTTGAGACCAAATGCAAGGAAGTGAAAATGTTCTCACAGTAGGAGGATCGAAGATAGGAATCAGGGTTTTTGTCAATCTGCCCTACTAGTCAGATGCCCACGTTATGCAACAGTCAGGTGTTTAGCAGGAGATTTGGCTTGCTGAATCAGGCCTCAACATGTCTTCCTGACACTGCACGTTGACACAGAGAGCGCTCTCACGTCTGCTCAGTAGCAAGGTAGTAATGGATGCCTGGCATACAACCATTCATAGAGACACAGGCTTCGTTGGTACTATCAGTATAGTCAGGACTGAGTCACACTGCAGCAGTTTCTTTTACAGACACAGAGTATAAGCTGTTTTTCCACTTCAGGCTCTCTAAAAGTGTTTTGCTCAGACTATTGTGTTTTCAGAATGAATACAGGCCCTCTTGTAGCAGCTGTTATGTTAATTTCCTTCCTGTTGGCCTTGTAATATAACCTAACCGTTTTGGCAGCTGCACTAGCATCAACTGTCCCTTATATCTGATTTCTGTTATCACTGGCGGTCTGAAACCATGTTGTAGAAGTTGGAGATCTTTAATTCTAAATAAGGTCTTATCATATGAAAAGTCATTACTTGGTCCATGTATAAAATGCGATTAAATACTATCTGTCAGTATTGTAACTAGCATTTGGTTATTATATGACCACTGACTGCACAACATTTTCTAATAATTTCTTCATGATGTGCCTAATTCTAGGCTAGTGTTTTGTTTTACAAAGGCACGAGCCTTAAGCAAATGTGCAAGACAGAGTTTTAAATTTCTCTCTTAATGTTTACATACCAGCTGAGGCAACGCCGAGCTTTGTATTAAAGCCCTGTCCCTGACTCCAGCCACATCAGGAGACGGCCTGTGGAGCTTGTATTGTGTTTAGACAAACAAAGGCTCACTCCGTTGTTTCCACAGAGCAAACACAAGACTGCGTGCCTGTTGGAAATTAAACAAACCACAAACCACCTCAAGCTAAACTGTGGGGAATAGTTGACTGATGGATACATTTCCTTTAAAGGACCCTATATCTTCATATATCTTGTAGTTTGATATCAGTCGCTGTTATATTACTGTATAGATTTACATGATGAAGATTTGTTTAGCCTGGAAACGTGGCCACGATATTCCACAAACTCAATCAGTGCTGTGCAATCGAGCAACCTGCTTTTAAGTCCAAATATTCTTCCTGTCGCTTCCATTTATTGCAATTGTTTAGTAACTTTATTTGTATACAACTTTTTAAAAACAGGAATTATAAAGAGTGCGAGTATAAAGGATCATAAAAAGACAGGATGATAGGGATAATAGTTTGAAGAAGGAAACACAAAGACTCTTAACACGTTATAACTATTATGCCGAATTAGAAACCGAACAAGTTTAAAGTGAAGTAAAACTTTGAATTAAAATGTTGAATTCTTAAAAGTATATACGATCACAAAGGCTCAGTGTTACAAAGGATAGATAGATTTGAGTTTGCAGCTTTGTCTCATCAAGCAGATCATTCCAAAATCAGGAATCCCCTTTGAGCAAACACCCGGTCACTTCTTGACACTGTTAAACATTTCGTTAGGAAGTGGAATCAAATCTGGATTTCTTTCATTCAACGTCAGAATTTCCAGATCACCACCAAAATTCAACAAGTTGTTCCTTGGACCAAGGCCTCGCTCTCCACCACATTTCATGTACATTTTGATATAGATAGGTAGATATAGATACAGATATCCTGCTAAGAGACTAACTAACTAAAATACAAAGAATGCATAAGTGCGTAATTTGCTTTAGGTGGTAGCAGAATAACATGTACAAACTTGTCTGATCCAAGTTTACTCTCAACTAGATGCAATAAATGAGTAAGTTTGGCGTATGTGGGAACAATTCTGTTTCCATGAATGGCCTCTTGAAGACCAGCAGCACTCAGCACTTAACGAGTTCTTCATTGTTTAAAGGATTGATCCTGTCACCCTTCGTTTTCTAGTCAAAGAAAATCAATACAGCAACATTCTGCTAGCTTCTCTTTACAGTTCTCTCTGCTCTCTTCAGTTTCTCCTGCAGCATTATGGCTTAAAACCTTCCTTCCCATCCTGTATTGATCCATCCCCCTAATTATTATAATCCTTGGCAGCTCTCAACCTTGTGAGTAGTTTAAACATGTACAGTAGCCCTCAAGGAAAAAACGTTTCTCTGTTAAAAGGAGTTCGGTCTAG